TGTTAGTTCAGTGGTAGAATTCTTACCTGCCACGAGGGAGACCAAGGTTTGATTCTCAGCCAATGCACTTCATATGCAGCCACCACCTGTCCCTCACTGGAGGCTTTTGTGTTGCTATGATGCTTAACAGATTTCAGGAGAGTTTCCAGACTAAAATAGACTAGGAGGAAAGGCTTGGCAATCTACTTTTGAAAATCAGCCAGTGAAAACCCCGTGGATCACAATGGTCCAATCTGCAATTGATCAGGGGAATGGTGAAGGACTGGGCATTGTTTCATTTAGTTGTGAATAGAGTAGAACAAAAGTGATGAGATGTCACCTCTGAGTTTAGGTGACAAAGAGACTATGGCTTCCATCATTGTCCCCTCTCTCTCTGTCTCTGTCTCTCTCTTTCACGTGCATGCTTTCTCACTCCATCTAAGGGAGTCAGTTGCCACATTGTGAGCCCCCTTGTGGAAAGGCCCACGTGGCAAGGAACTGAGGTCTCCAACCAACAGCCAGCAAGGATCCAAGGTCTAGTCCTCAAGTGCCATCTCTCCTTGCCAGCTGGAGCTGCTTGTGGGGACATATGGTGGTAGTGCCAAGGGAGGAGGGTAGCCACAACCACCAGGGCTTTGAAGCTACGGAAACCATCTCAGCTGTTGTTAAAACTGTATTTGCTGGGAGCCAGAGGTACAGGAAGGCCAAGCAGATATGAGGTTAAGCATGAGTCAGCTTCAGGACACCATGGCACCCAGCACCTAGCACAGAGCACAGAATATGTTTTTAAAATATGTTTTGTGAATAACTGAACCAACAAGTTTGCCTTCAGTGCTTCCTGTCCCCTCCCTCAACCAGGTAGAGACCCACTACTGCACCTTGCCCTCCCTGGGGCCCCCACTGGAGAGGAAATCACTCTCTGGCTGAAGCATGAATATTCTAATCTCTTCCTTGATGCAGGAAGAACAGGATCAGGGGAGTCTGGATGAAGAGGCCAGCTGGGAAGTAGGAAGTGATGTGCCTATATCAGCGTGAGTGATGAGGGGCTGAACCAGGAAGAGAAGGGAAGGAGATGCTATGAGGGGAGGAAAGAGTAGAGGTGGTGCCTGCTTGGGAAGGTCCACCCAAAGAAGGGAGTCAAGAAAGATTCCAAACTGGGTGCCATCGAGTTAGTTCCAACTCATAGCGACCTATGTACAAGAGAACAGAACACTGTCATCCTCACAATCATTGCTATATTTGGGCTCATTGTTGCAGCTATTATTTCAGACTATCTCATCCACCTTTTCTGACTTTAAACCACTCAGTATTCCCTTGTTCTGTTTGAACAACTGCTGTTTGGTATACGTACAGTTTCCTCATGAGCACAATTAACTAATCTAGAGAGAACACTTAAAGTCAGGAAAGGTGTGTGTCAGGGTTGTATCCTCTCACTATACTTATTCAATCTGTATGCTGAACAAATAGTCAGAGAAGCTGGACTATATGAAGAACAGGGCATCAGGATTGGAGTAAGACTCATTAACAACCTGCTTTATGCAGAGAACACAAGCCTGCTTGCTGAAAATGAAGAAGACTTGAAGCACTTATTGATGAAGATCAAAGACCATAACCTTCAGTATGGATTACACTTCAACATAAAAAAATCAAAAATCCTCACAACTGGAACAATAAGCAACATCATGTTAAGCAGAGAAAAGATTGAAGTTATCAAGGATTTCAGTTTACTTGGATCCACAATCAACACCCGTGGAAGAAGCAGTCAAGAAATCAAAAGACACACTGCATTGGGCAAATCTGCTGCAAAAGACCTCGTTAAAGTGTTGAAAAGCCAAGATGTTACCTTGAAGACTAAGATGCGCCTGACCCAAGCCATGGTATTTTCAATCACCTCATATGCATGCAAAAGCTGAATGATGAATAAGGAAAACCAAAGAAAAATTGACGCTTTTGAATTGTGGTGTTGGTGACGGATATTGAATATACCATGGACTGCCAAAAGAATGAACAAGTCTGTCTCGGATGAAATGCTCCTTAGAAGCAAAGATGGCAAGATTACATCTCACATACTTTGGACATGTTATCAAGGGGGATCAGTCCCTGGAGAAGGACATCATGCCTGGTAAAGTAGAGGACCAGCGAAAAAGAGGAAGACCCTCAACGGGATGGATTGACACAGTGGCGGCAACAACGGGCTCAAGCATAACAAGGATTGTGAGGACCAGGCAGTGTTTCGTTCTGTTGTACATAGGGTCGCTATGAGTCAGAACCGACTTGATGGCACTAACAACAACAACATCTAGTCCAGGGTCTTCCTCTTTTTCACTGACCCTCTACCTTGCCAGGCATGATGTCCTTCTCCAGGGATTGGTCCCTCCTGATAGTAAGTCCAAAGTCCTGAGACAAGGTCTTGCCATCCTTGCTTCCGAAGAGCACTCTGGCTGTACTTCTTCCAAGACAGACTTGTTTGTTCTTCTGGCAGTCCATGGTATGGTCAATGTTCTTTGCCAGCACCTAATTCAGGGGCATCAATTCTTCTTTGATCTTCCTCATTCATCATCCAGCTTTCACATGCATGTGAGACAATTGAAAGTGTCATGGCTTGGGTCAGGCACACCTTGGTCCTCAAGGTGACATCTTTGCTTAAATGATAAAACTAAAGTGATAGCTTAAATGAAAAAATACTAGAGGACTTTCTTTTAATTAGGTGTGATTATGGTTTATTGCAATGATGTGTTCTAAACGAACTGTATAATTGTGTATGAATTAAATCTATATTTGTAATAAAATGTTTATTTTATGTAATGTTATGGCCATCCTGTAACTTTGAACTGGGGTAAATATTAAAGTATTAAATATTTTATTGCACTTTGCCTTCATGTATTGATTAGGTATGATAGCACACCTTGTATTTCTAGTACTTCATGAATAAATTCTTATCAATCTAAAAAAAAAAAAAGGATTCCAAGGAGTCAAGTCACTGAGGTGGGGCACTGAGAGATGGTTTAATCATTTGGGAGTGTTGTAGTTTGGGTTCCGCAGAACATGAGGCAAATACACTTATGCAAGTATGAATAGTTTATTTTGGAGACAATTCCAGGAAACATGGGCAAGAGAGTGGAGAAGTCACATAGGGAAAGAAGTGAGTCAATTACCACCATGGGCAATTGGAGCTTAATCTCTCCCAGGAATTCTGGGAACTGGAGCAAAACACGTGCCACCTGAGGACTGAGGGAGCTGGGGTATTTAAACACCAACTCCTCACAGATTTTGGGGAGCTCAATTAGATGTCCCTCCACAGGGTACATTGGGCAACCCACTACCTAGCCTCCAGCAGTCAGATTTGGTTCCTTCACAGGTCATTTGGAGTCTTCTTTCTTGGACCTTTACTCGAGGACCTGGACTCAGCCTAGAAGAATTCTGCACGCGTGCGTGCACACACACACACACACACACACACTGCCCCCAATCTCTGCCATTTCAGCTTAGACCTTCTGGAAACAACAGTCACCAGAGAGAGTGCCTCTAATGGGGCAATTCCAGGCAAAGGGCAGACTAGTGGGGCAGACTCGTGGACATACATCCTTATTTCGTGTGACTTCATTGTTTGAATCTGTTGCACACATTCCTCTCCCAGGAAAAAACTGTCCTGCTTTGAAAAGCAGTTTCTGCAAAGTGTCTCAAGTGCTTGAGGTGTTTATAGACATTTTAAAGCATGAAAAACCTTTAAAGAAAGACACCCCTCCACCCCACCTAACCAACCCTTAAGGCCAGTGTCCCCACTTCACCATTAAGATGCCTGTTGGGGCCTTCAAGAAAACACAGGGTTTTATTCTGTTTTTTTGGGAGTGATGATTATTTTTAATGCCCAGAGACAAATTAGTTTCAAAAGATAACACTATAATGTTGACTTTATTTCACCATGGAAATTGTGTGCTCAAAAGTAAGAAACCATCTTTATAAAATAACCAAATAAAAATAAATAAATAAATAGGAGTCACTTCAAAGGGAATCACAGGGTTGGGGAAAGACCCGCTGGAGGATCAGATGCAGATGCCTACGGCCAGGACTTCCTCTTACTGCCTCCTCAGCGCTGTGGGGAGAAGAGAGAGGGTGATTATTCTTTAGAAGACTGAGGCAAGATCTGAGTGTCCCCTCAACATATCTTATCCCTGCCACCCACCCCATACCCCTAGTCCTCGGTTGATCTTGATGTTTGAAGCCTTGGAATAATTGATCTCTGGGTGGGCCTCAGTTTCTTCATCTGTAAACTGAGTGTGATAGTAGCCCTGGAGAAACCAGGAGGAAGGATATCTGGGGCCCCTGGAGGCAGGGGCTGCCAGACAATGAATGGAGTCCACGCTAAGGTAATTCTGCCCCTTTTGGTAGGAGAGGTGGTGAGAGGTGGGTGGGGCTCATGGGCATGGCAATAAACGTTGCCCACATTTAATATTTCTAGAAAGGCACCTCTTGACCCTGAGGTCTCAACAAGAGGGAGTGATGTGTCCAGGTGCCCTTTTTGCAGAGAGTGTAGCCCCCAGAGAAAACAAACCAAGAAGTGACTGGAATGGTGGACTGCATAGCAACGGGGTGGGTGTGCAGCACTCCTGCTGAGTGCTAAGGTGGGGGCTCACCTTTGCAGCCCAGGCTGCTGAGTGAGGCAGTGCGGTCCAACCTCCGCCCAAAGCAACCCGAATCGCGTATCACCTTGGGGCTGCGTAGTCCCCACAGGGCCTGGAGGGGGCGAGGCCGGAGGACACCCTCGGGGGCTGCCTCCCGGGCCTCCCCGGCTTCGACAGGGCCATGGCCGCCGTTCTGGCGGGGCTCCAGGGTCACCGGCTCCGCCTGCAGCTCGGAGACCGTGTCCCGCAGGTGGTCCAGCAGCTTCTGTGATGGATGGGGAACCCGAGCCTCAGTAACCGGCACTCCCGCAGCATGCCTTCCATGGAGCACATGTGAACCGGCTGCTAGCACCCAATCTCGCCGCTTCCTGATTACCTTATCACTAATTCCCACAGGAAGGTGGGGGCTCCTTGGGATAGGAGGTGGGGACCTGTCCTTTGCTGCCGCGGGCGCTATCCTGGCTGGCCATCTCGCAGCGCTCACCTGTATCCTGGGCAGTTCCGAGGCCAGGCCAGGGCCGCCCAGAGGGTGGGAACGACCTCCTGGAGGCGACAGGTGCAGGAAGAGGAGGAGCAGGAGTGGCCGGGTCAGCGCTGTCTGGGGGTGCATGTCCAGGAGCGGGGACTGGGGTTACTGCCGCTGAGACTGCTCGGCGTCGGGCTTCCAATCCCACGTCCTCGAGGCCCGCGGGCGCTCTCTTGGCTTCTCTGGCAACCTCAGCCTTTTATCCCTGGCCTGGGAGTGGGGCCGGTCCTGCCCTCCGGGGTTATCTCTGCTTTATCTGCCGCATTCCGACCCGCTGAACTCGAGGCCCGGGCATGCACCCTCAGCGTCTGCTACTAGTACTCCCCCGGGGGGCAGGCTCGGGAGAGCGGGCCTTGTACAGAAATGAGCAGGGCCCGGAGGGGAGGGTGCGGGAGACACCAACGGGTCCCTTGTCTGCTGATTCTTCCTTTCCTGCAAAAATCCGGGGGCTTAGCATGGCGTCTTTCCCTCCGCTCTCCACCCGCAAGCATTTCTGGAGAGGGTAGGGAGAACTCCAGCGTCCTGAAGTTCAATGCGAGCGCAGGGCTCACGGTGACTCAGAGCGAGAACAGCGCCAAATAACACTCACCACCTCCCCTCCCGCATGTAACTCAGCGCCCGGCCTAAGTTCCTAACGCCCAGCCAGGCTGCGGGGTCGCCAGGACGCGCCGGCCGCTGTCCGTGGTGCTGACCTCGAACGTTGCTAAAGTCTGCTCAAGAAGTCTGGTTCCCAACTCGGTTTCCCGGCCAGAAAGACTTGCATGGGGCAGGGGCAAGACAACTCGCAAGCCCCTTCTCACCCTCCTACTCCCGCTCCCCCATGAGCCTTACAGCACTGGGATGCTGACCCCTCAATGTCATCTGATTAAATGCCTGGGTATGACAAGGAACTTCTGGAATGCTGACCTTTCTTCCATCCCATAAAGGGTAGAGCTGATTCGGCTGGAATTTTGAGAGGCAAGGCCCCCGAGATGAAGTCACCCAGGAATGCTTTCTATCTCAGGTCCTCCAGTTGCCAACACCTCCTCTCCCCCACCAACCCAGACACATGATGGAAAAAGAAGTGATGGCTGGAATGATGATTATCTATTTGGTGGAACAAGAGGTATGGGGCATGCCCTCCAATTCCTCTTCCACATGATTATTCATGACCTAATTCCCATTAGCAGATGGGAGCACAGGTGGACTTCCCACCTGTAATCAGAAATAGGGCTCCCAAAAAATGGCTCTGGGAAGAGACAGAGCTGCTTAAACCTCCCCTAAAGTGCGCATGACTGATGTTAGCACCCTTCCAGAGAACTTGTGTTAAGAAGCAGGGTGGATGTATAGGGTTGCACAGGAAGGAAGATAAGTTATGACAGAGATGGGGAAGGGCAGCAAGAGGAAACCTGGACCCTTAAGCAACTCTTTTTTTTTTTATTGTTGTACTTTAAGTGAAAGTTTACAATTCAAGTTAGTCTCTCATACAAAAATGTATACATACATTGTTATGTGACCCTAATTGCTCCCCCTGTACTGTGACAGCACGCTCCTCTTTTCCATCCCTGATTTCCCGTGTCCATTCAACCAGCTCTTGACCCTCTCTGCCTTCTCATCTCACCTACAGACAGGAGCTGCCAATTTAGTCTCACGTATCTACTTGAGCTAAGAAGCACACTTTTCACGAGTATCGTTTTATGTCCATAGTCCAGTCTAATCTTTGTCTGAAGAGTTGGCATTGGGACCTTAAGTAACTCTTGCCTAAAAAAATAGCAGTTGCCAGTGTTAAGTGAGGAAAAATACTGATATTCCCATTTTTCACATGAAGAAATTCAACTCAGAGGAATTAATTACCTTTCTTAAGGTCACACAACTGACAAATGGTGAAACCTGGATTCCAGTCCAGCCGGTCTGATTCCGTACCTGAAGCTGTTAATCACTGCTAAGGAGACTGCAAAGGATTTCTACTAGAAGAAAAATTAAATTAATTCATTGTCATCTGTGAAGGTACAGGGAGCTGTGCTGTGGTGGGGGAGTGACTCTGGTGGCTGTGTGTGCAGGGGAAGGATGTTAAGTGTGGCTAAGATGAGCATTTTACAGATGAAGATGGGAGAGGGGTAAGGGCTAGGGAGGTTCTGGGGGCTGGGGCTGAGGCTGTGTGTGTGTGTGTGTGTGTGTGTGTGTGCACATGCATACCACAAGAGGAATATCCAAAGACTCAGTGGAAATAGAGGGAGGCAACAGAATCTAACCAAGTGAAGAGCTGAGTAGAGGACTGGGAACTGCTAAGAGTGTAGAGAGTCCCCCATGCTAGGCATCATGAAGGGAAGGGTTGGGAGAAAGACAGAGTCAATCAACCAGCACCTCTCAAGTGCTGACTCTGTATCTAGCCTGAATCTTACTTTTCTCTTCTGCAAATTGGGTATAATGGTGCTCTCCATCCTTGCAAGGATTAAAAGTGAGAAACTGTTGTCTGTGAAAGCCCTTGGAAGTGTGAAAAGAACCAAATAATTAGGAATATGCGTGAGAGTTGGTCCCTGCACCAAAGGACCTTGTGACATTGCTGAGAAGACAGAGCAACTCCAGGGAAAACAACTAAGTGCTAAACGCTCTGACAGAGCCTCTACCTGTTCCAACAGGCCAGGAAGGGTTCATCCCAGTGGAGGAGATTATGGAAGAAGATTTTAGAGAAGATACTGAACCTAACATTGAGTGCCTACTGTATGCCATACACTTTCCACTTATATTTTAATTGGAGTTAATCATACCACCCATGTCATTGCGTTACTGTATAAGGATTAAATTAGATGGTATATATGGCAGGCTGGATAACAGCCTCCCAAAGGTGTCCATGTCCTAATCTCTGGAATTTATGACTATGTTACCTTACATGGTAAAAGGGGCTTTGCAAATGTAGTTAAGTGTCTTGAGATGGGGAGATAATCCTGGATTATCTGGGTGGGCCCAATGTAATCACAAGGATTCTTATAAGAGGGAGGCAAAAGGATCAGAATCGTTAAGAGAAGATATAAGAATAAAAGCAGAGGTCAGAGAGGAGAGAAGATGCCATGCTGCTGGCTTTGAAGACAGAGGAAGAGGTCATGAGCCAAGGAATGCAGGTGGCCTCTAAAAGCTGGAAAAGGCAAGGAAATGGATTCTCTCCCAGCATCTCCAAAAGGAACACATTGATTTTAGCCCATTGAAACTGATCCAAACTTCTGATCATCAGAACTGTAAGATAATAAATTCGTGTTGTTTTAAGCCACTAAATTGGTGGTAACTTGTTACAGCCCCAATAGGAAACTAATACAGTCTATGTAAAATGCTGAGCATAGTACCTGGCACATAGTAAGTCCTCAGTAAAAGTTGTTGTGGTGGCAGTGGTGGCTCAACCCCCAGGCATCTCATCTCCTTCCTGGAGAAGAAAAGGTCAAGGGCACATCTCAGCTCAAGGCCACGAACCTGGAAATGGGATGCGACAATTGTTCTCTGATGCTGCTAGTTTGGCAGGCAGCTGGGGTCTGCTCCCAGTGTCCTATGGGTTGGGGGCAAGACCACGGCGATGCCACTCTTGACCTCCACAGGCCTGGCCAGGTCACCTGTCTTGGCCCAGGGTAAGCCTGATTTGGGTGACTCAGGCCCGCCAACTGAAGGACCAGTTTGGGCTCCAGGGACACAGAAGAGCTAGGTAGAGGAGTCTCTGGAAAGATGCTCTGTAGCCCACACAGGCTGATCCTGGGGCAGCCGCTGACTTCACGGGGAGGAGTGGATCCTGGACAGGCTTGGCCCTTGGCTCTTCCCATGCCAGGACTCCCTACTTAACCCATCCTCTCCTCCTGCCTAGATTGGCATTAATAAGCATCTGTCTGGGGCTGCTGTCCTGGAGTTTCTGTACCTGCACACTTCCTGCTCACACTCCTGTGATGAGCTCACCAGCACCTCCAGTTCCGCGCTCCAGCTGGGGCTTACTCATACTAAAAGACTACTGTTGTTTATCTGAAATTCAAACTTAATTGGATGTCTTATATTCTTATTTGCTAAATCTGGCAACCCGGGGTGGAGTGAGGGTCAAGACTGCCTGCCTGCCTCTCCCTCGCAGACAGCAGGTAGGGTGTGGTGGAGGTCGGGGTGGGGTGGGGGAGACTGGTGGTATTTCCCAAATTTTCTCAGAGGGCGGCCTCATCTCACTGAACCGCCCTCAAGGGAGTTGATACCCAGCATCCGACCTCGAGGTCGCCTGGGCGGGTGGGAGCAATGCTGTCCTTGGCGGAGAAGGTCGTACGGGGTGGCGCCAACCTCCAGCTCCACCGGCTAATTACTGGGATCCGCCGCAGCTGCAGCCACGCTGGCCGCAAGCCGCCAACACGTCGACGTCATCATCACCCTCCCGCACTTCTGCCCTCTCACCCTCTCCTCCCGGATCAGGGAAGAGAGCACAGACTCAGGAGCCCGAAACCCCCAACCTAGCCCTGCCTCTGTCTCTGAGCTACACGCTCTGTGGAAGCTGCATCCCCTTCTGGGCTCAGTGTTCCCCCCCAACCCGAGGAGACGGTCTAAGGGACCAGGTCAGGCCCTAACCTCCTTACACTGCCAATACCTCTGTGCCACCTCACGCAGTCACGCTACCCCTCTGTGCCGTTTCCCCATCTATAAGATGGGAACAATATGGTCTTTTCTAAGGATTAAAGGAATTAAGCCACAGACAGTTGTTGGGACAGCCCCTGGCAGGTACTGGGCTCTCAGAAGCCTTGGCTGCTCTTGTCCATTTTGTCTCTGCGCTACCTCCCCAGCAGCCCCAAGGCTTAGATGAGGGATGTGGTGCCTCCATGTCCTTGCGGGAGAGTCTATGGAAACTCTCGAGAGATCATTCACATCAGGACTTCTTCAACACCATTTATTAAACTCTTAACTGTGTACAGTTAGAGTTTAATCATTGCTGACGTCAGATGGAACCCGTCTGAAAGCAGAGAATACCAAAAGATGTTTACATGTGTTTTATTGACTATGCAGAGGCATTCGACTGTGTGGATCATAACAAATTATGGATAACTCTGCGAAGAATGGGATTTCCAGAACACTTAACTGTGCTCATGAGGAACCTGTAC